GCTGTGCCAGGACCTCTGTGGGGGCGGCTTTGCGCTGGGCTCCCCGTGGGCGCCGCACACTGTAGTTCTGCAGGCACCGCCTCCCCGCTGTGTCCACGCCTGGACCCCAGGATGAACAGCACAGCACCTTCCCATCCAGCCTGGGGCACCAGCCTCGGGGGGGGGGGGGCGTGGATGGAGCAGCAGCAGCAGCAGTGACCGGGTGAGCTTCTTGGTGACACAATAGACACTTTTCTTTTTAGAAAAACCTTAGACTCAGATATAATTCAACTGCAGAGGAAATGGAAAGACTGAACGAAATCACCTCCCAAACCGAAATCTGCTCCCAGCGGAGGAGCTCCCGAGGCGGGCGGAGGGCGCAGACAGGCCCACTGGCGCGGAGGACAGACCGGAGGGAAGGAGGCAGCAAGACCCTGACCCCGGCGCCCGCCTGGGGAGAGCCCTCCTGCGGAGCACATGGCGCCTGACACACTTCTCGTGGGGGAAGCAGCTGGAACCGCTGACCGGGACAGGAAGGAGCGCTGCTCTGGCCCCTCGGGGTTCCCAGGGCCTGGCTCTGCTGTAAATGAACTTCATGAATGAAATACTGTTGTCCTTGATAAATATCTTCTATTTTGTGTAGGATTTTTCTAATAAAAGCTGAAACTCCGAGACCCGGGAGTCTGTTTTCTGTTGTGGAATCGCCTTTGTTCCACATGGAGGCTGATCTCTCTGGGCCTGGGGCCGACAGCAGCTCCTTCCACTAACGCCTGGGTTTGACGAGAAGAGCCAAGTCATAGGAAGAGAGTTGAGACCTGCAAGGCCGATGAGGTTGGCTGGCCCGTCCTGGTAGTGCAAGTAGTTTAATGCCTTTCTTTTTAAAAAAATTAAAAATATCCTATCTAATAATAGACAAACATGGTAATTGACTGTACCTTCGCTACGCCTCCCATTGGCTAATCAGCGTGATATGCAAATTAACTGTCAACAAAGATGGCTAATTTGCATACTGCAGGCAGGGCGGGCCAGCGCGAGCTGCCATCCAGGCCCCCGTGTGCTGTCTAAGCCCCGCCCCCAGCCAGGACCCCTGTGTGCGGCCCTGGGCGGGGGGGCTTGGTGGCGAGATTGGCCCGAGGAAGCCCTATTCTTGGAGGAATATTCCTGCAACGGGCTTCTAATATTGTGCCCTGACTGGTAATTGAACCGTGACCTCCTGGTTCACAGGTCGATGGTCAAACACCGAGCCAGCCGGCCGGGCTGACTGGTGCCTTTCTTGGTGAAGACCTGGGGTGTCACAGTTGGTTGGGGCTTTGCTGAAATAACGGTGTGTTGTCAGCCTTTACAAATCATCGGGAGCCAGGACTGTCCACGTTCACCCGGGTGCGATGAACATGGAGGGATGCCCAGTGGCCCAGGTGGGTCCTGAGAAGCACCGGCGAGGAAGCGCCCGTCCCATGGACAGGACTGGTGCGTGGCCGCGCCCTGGGCCTAACCACGGGGCGGCTGCTGGGCTGCCCGGGCCTGGTCGCCCGGGAGGTGTGTGTCAGTGTCCCTGCCGGAGTTAGGAAGCCTCCTTGTAGGTTGGAAGTTAGAGGGAGCCCCCACCGTGGAGCAAATAAGAGGGGCTGGGGCGTGCATGGCCTCGATGACCCCGTGCGGCCTCGCGTGGCCTTTTTACAAGAGGAGGGAATGGACTCGCTGGGTCCCCTTCCTGCCCGTTGAGGCTGCAGCATCACGTCTGCAGTTAAATCTGTTCACTGAGGACGGTTTCCGTGAACACTAACCCTTTCCTGGCCTCGTCGGCTTTTCATCAACTTACCTGCCCCACGTTTTCACAAAGTGGTCCAGGAATCGCCAGGAGCTCTCCTTTGCTTCCCTGATTCCTTGTTGGGGACAGAAGCTGGCCGATCGCAGGGTCTGACTAGAGAGGTGCTAACAACATGAAGTCGGATTCTGAAAAAAGCCTACATTTTCCCTAAGTTCTAAAAGTTCTAAGTCAAGCATCCCTAACATACATGTCCCAGGCCTAGCTCTCTCGGCCCGATGCTGATGTTTGCTCTCAGTGGCTGTGTCTCTCCCTGTGCCCGTCTCCCCGGACGGAGGGCTCAGGAGGCCCCAGGCACTCGGCTCCTGACCTCCCCTCGCTGTGCAGCACGGGAAGAAGGGATGAGCTGGTGGCACCGGCTGGAACAAGTGTGGGGGGAGGATACCAGACCCAAACTCCGCTGAAACACTTAGCCCCATGGAGACAGCGGGGGTGCAGAGTGGTCCCCGGGACGCACCCGGGAGAGGCGTCAGGATGGGGACCGAGTGGAGGCAGCGTGGCAGCCGGACTGTCCACAGCGAGCAGACCGGCACTGGCAGCAGCGAGCTGCTCGGATGTGAGTAGAAGAGCCTCCTGCACCCCGAGCACATGTGGGAACGGGCACCCCCTGCCTCGCAGAGGTGTGTGGGCGGGGCTGGGTGAGCACGTGACGGCCGGGCCCTCGTCCCCGTCTCCGCAGCAGGAGCGATCGATTCCTTTCATGCTGTTGAAGTACTTCCTCCCATCGCAGTTGCTGAAGGGCTGGCTGTTTCCTGATTAGTGCCTGCAGCTCACTTTAAAGCCCCTAGTGCTCTCCTCCTGGATTTAATAACGTGGTCTTTGAAGTGTACAGTTCCAGATTTTGCTGATTTGTTTCACAGTCGTATTGACTCAATGAAACGATGGCCCGTTGGGACTCACTCTAATTAGTGCTCTGTGATCTGAGTTTCCCGTTTCTGTGGGCGGTCACAGCAAACCTGGGCTCGCAGGCGGCCGTCCTTAGAGCAGCCCTGATGCTGGGCCCATGAGGGCCTGCAGTGTCCTGGCTTCGGTGCCTGGGGAGCGAGTACAGGTCTCAGCTGTGAAGCTGGACACCCAGGCCTTTGCAGAAAGCCTCCCCTGGCGTGTCCGCACTGGAGACGCCTGCCCTCAAGGCTCATCGTCCCCTCGGGGGAACCGCTGCCTCACTGAATGGGGACAGCCCTGCAAGCCCGTCCCCAGTGCCCGGCACCCTCGGGCAGATCGCGGGCTCTGACGAGAGAGGTGCTAATGACATGAAGTTGGACTCGGTAGGTTTTTCCAAAGACACTAAGTAGGTGAGAATCTAGGCACGGGAGCACCCACACGGGACCCGAGCGCGTGGGACCGGTCAGTGGGGAAGCGTGAGTGTGAGGGCCACAGACGGAGCACCCACCTGCTCTCCCCACTCTCCCATTGGTCTCGTCTGTGCTGTTCCCGCTGTGAGGTGTTCTCGGCTCCTCAGAAAAGCGGAGCAGCCAGCACCTCAACAAACAGCAATGGACCTCGGGCCGTGGAGCCCGGGCCTGAGGCTGGTGCGGACAGGAGAGCTCCCACCCCAACAGGTGGGCATCGCGGCTGCGCTCCAGCGGAGGTCACCGCGGAGGGGAGCGGGTACGTCTGAGATGTTCCTGCGAAATCCCTGCCTTTGCCTTTCATGGAACTAAATTTCTGAAAGTTAATTGTGCTAAACGCTGCACGCATAGTGTACATTCTGCCCCATGAATCCTATGTAACCAGGTTCACTGGACAAGAAAAACAGTTGGTCCATTGGGGCAGGACACCGTCCCCTTTGAGCGCGTGTGGCCGGGACACTCTGGGACACAGGATCGCAGCCGCGGACGGACACTTGGATGCGACTGCGCCGTTCACCTGCCCACGGGGAGGCCAGGGCTGGGCCTGGGCCTGGGAGGAAAGAACCCCCAGCTTCTCCTGCCCCTTTGTGGGGTTTCCGTTTTGTCTGTAAAGCAGAGGATGGAGGGTCAGGGCAGTTGTGTTCAGAGGTGCCCACAGTCGTTCATGCTGGCGACACCACCAAGGTCACTGCCCGCTCACGGCGCTGGCATCGGCAGGCGGTGCACACACGGCAACATGAGGGAGAGGCTTGGCCCGTCATTCAGTGGGCTGCACGGGTGGGTGGAGGGGTGGCTGTCCCAAAGCGAGGCTTAGGGGCCTGGCCACAGGGGTCAAGCTTAGAGCTCACTGGCCCTGGCCGGTAGCTCGGTTGAGTAGGGCATCGTCCCGATGCGCCACGGTTGCGGGTTCGATCCCCCGTCAGGGCACGGACAAGAAGCAGCCCATGAATGTATAAGTGTGACGACAAATAGATATTTCTCTCTCTCGAATCAGTTACAAACAGGTGAGAGCTTCCTTTTCTACTGTTCTGCCTTATTGAAACAAGATTTTTAAAGCACACAAGCATGGTTAAGAAGATTGTCTTTAAAGCGATTTTATGTATAAACATAATTCTAAAGCAAAATTTTAAGAAATATAAGCTCAAATGTCAGCTTTTCAGCCAACTGACTCCCTGCATTTTAAATCCTGCCGCCTCCTGGGGGCGTGCTGACAGGAAGGGTGGGGCGGCCTCAGAGCTGGGGGTCACTCCCAGGCGGGGTGCCTCCAGGCCCTGACCCCCTGACCCGGGGAAGGCCGCCATCACAGCCAATACCGCCTGTCTCCTCCCACGGGCTGTGCGTGAGCCGGCCCGTGCCCTGAGCACCCGGTGCTCGGCACCACAGCACGAAGGCGGAGGGTGCTTCGGCCTCTGAGTGGGACACTGTCAGGACGGATGGTCAGTCGGTCGGTCGGCCGGCCGGAGCCTGCCGAGCCTGGCGGTGGCTCCCGAGGCGCTGCTCACCCAGGTGGAGGCCGCCCGGCTGCGCAGGAAGGAAGCCTGTGCGTCTGGTATGGACTTTCCTTCTCACATGAGAGCAGTGTTGAGGCTCTGGAGACAGTGATTTCCACGGACTCCGCGCATC